CCATGATGTATGGGGCTGAGTGTTGGCCTGTTAAGAACTCACATATCCAGAAGATGAAAGTAGCAGAGATGAGGATGTTAAGGTGGATGTGCGGGCACACTAGGATGGATAAGATTAGGAATGATGATATTCGGGAGAAGGTGGGCATGACTCCCATTGATAACAAGATGCGGGAAGCGAGGCTTAGATGGTTCGGGCATGTTCAGAGAAGAAGCCCAGACGCTCCGGTAAGGAGCTGTGAGCGACTGGCCTTGGAAGGCTCGAGAAGAGGTAGAGGGCGGCCTAAGAAGTATTAGGGAGAGGTAATCAGGCAGGACATGGTGAGGCTTCAGATTTCCGAGGACATGGTCCTTGATAGGGAGCTGTGGAGGTCGAGTATTAGGGTTGTAGGTTAGGAGGTAGTTGAGTCTTTCCTTAGTTCGTACATTTGTGAGGCTAGCTTGGTAAGGTTTTTGTCTGAGACAGCTAGTGGCAATGTTGTGTCTTACTACTCTTTCGTTTTTCATAGAGCCGACTCTATGTAATGGTTACCGCTTTTGCTCTGCACCTATTTTCTGGCTTTCATGATGTTGTTAATTTTTTCTTATGGTATCTGTTGCTGGTACTGATATTGTCTCTTTTCTCTTCTCTTCTTTTCTTTTCTTCTTCTTGAGCCGAGGGTCTTTCGGAGATAGCCTCTCTACTCCTCGGGTAGGGGTAAGGTTTGCGTACACACTACCCTCCCCAGACCCCACTAGTGGGATTTTACTAGGTCGATGTTGTTGTTGTTGTTGTTGTTGCTAATTGATGAAAAAACAACCATGAATATCCGCATTAGTTAGCACCCTTGCAGTTCATTCCTACTGTAAAGACATCTACCTGTGTTTTTTTGTTTTATTTGCTATTATTTTTTATTATTTAATAAACACGAGGTTACAGAATCTCACAGCCATTTGTATACTAGGATCAACCCTTTAAAACCATAATTCTATGTCTTTACACCTTCCCTCCTTTACTCCTATAGCTCTGAGCATCAAGGACAGGGATCTACTGTTCTTTTGCATCTCATAGTTATATCTGGTTAAAAAGGTGAAATGACAGCACTCAACTTCCAGTGGTTATCTTGCTGTCTTGAAAGCTATTGAGCTATAAGCCTCATGTTTGAACGAGTGTTCCGCAATGCCCACTCAAATTGCATTAGTCAACCAACAAAATTTGACTTGGATGGGTTAGAAGAAGGCATCCAACACCGTAAATAAATTCCTCTTGTCTGATAATTCCTTTGATTGATTCTTGCTCATCATATGAGATTGATGGTAGCCTGTAGTCTGCAGTAGTTGACTCAAATTGATCCTCTGAAGGCATTGAGACGTTTTTCTGCTGTTTCAGTAAAAGAGACCTCTGCTACAGCATTTCTGAAGACCATCTCTTTTAGTACCAATTTTGTATAGATGATAGATGGCTGGTCACACTGCCAACATTCTAGATGGGACAGATCCTTTATCAAATTGAAGATCTGCCTGTAAATACATGTTAATAAGTCTGTGGGGAGTGATAAAATGAGTTCGTTTATGAAATAAACAAAATATTAGTACATTATACATTCCTAAGTCAAAGTGATGGTGCTAAGGTTGCTTTGTTACACTCTCTACATCTGATTCCCTCTGTTTCTGTAGTCTCAAAAACCTTCTGCTTCAATATAAATGTTATTCAGAAAAGCTCAGTGGCTTTTTCTTCTTTATGATAACTGGTTACAACTTACAAGTTTCTTTCTGTTTTCCATATATCAATTTCTGAAAGTTGTGTGTGTGTGGCAAAAGTAACCTAAGGAGCATATAAGATGAAATGAGCAAATAATTGGCTAGTGCTTTTTTAAGAAGGAAGCAATGTAATGCTTATAACTGTTTAGCTGCAAATCAGACTACCCAAAGAAACATAGTTTTACTTAATAATGATAATTTCCTTCTGTAAGGCAGCTGTCTAGAAGCATGTTTTAGTACATTCCTCTATTATGCATTCTGTGCTGCAATCTGTATCGATTATACATCTGAAATTTGTGATGGAATAGAGTTTTAAAAGTAAATAGGTCGATCTGAACGCAGCAAAAATTGTATGGAATATGTCAGTGTTGGACTTATGCCTTTGAGTATTGCAGTCTCATTTGTCGTCATTTCTGTTGCTGTTGCTTGTGCCTATTCATAAAGAGCTTCCTACTCTTACGATACATTAGGTTATCACTAAGCATGTCCCTTTGCTCTTTTTCAGGTCCTAGGGGTCAAATTAATACTCGTGACAGTGAGGTATGAAGTTTTATTTCAAAGTTATGTTTCTTTTCTCTTTCATGCTATGGTCATTAGTCCAGCTGATGTATAACCACCATAACCTCTACTTTCTTATTCATAGTATCTGCATACTACGACAAAACTGCTCTCTGTGTTGTGGTTGTAACTACAGTAATGATTTCAAAGCAGACAAATGATATAACAGCTAGATGTTTTAAATAGTTTTAAACTACTGTTTCAACTAATAGGAAAAAATGTAACAGTAACAAGAGGAGTCTTGCATTTTCTATTCCTGCTGATGTTTTCAGGAAGTGTTTCTGGCTGCTAAGTAAGCATGGGTCGTTGTCCTGATTAGAATCACTGACTAGTTTCATTCATCTATTTTTTAAATTAATGCAGGTTATTTGGCAAGATAATATCGACCCTGACAACATGACCTATGAGGTTTGATTTGTAAAATTTCTGCAATCTCCACTTATTAGACTTGTATTTTCATTATCTTGTGCATCATCAAATAGTATCATTATCTTGTGATCCATTTGAGACATCAAGAATCTCATGTCACAGTTCTTTTAGTAATGTCTTGGTTATTAGAGGCAGAGAATTAGTTGTCAAAGTTATGCAGGTTAATATGAAATGTTTATTGCCATGAGGAGCCCTGTAAGATACGGTATATTTTTCTGGGATCTCTATCACCTACGAGTCGAGATGGAGCGAAATGGATAGTAAGGATTCATCTAGCTGACCCCAGCTAGCTTGGGATAGATCGTTAGTTGTTGTTGTTGTAGTCATGTGATGTGCATCATTGACGAGAATGGTGGCTTAGTGTCGGATGAAGATGAAACTGATATTTTGATACAATTTTTCGTGATTCAATTTTGATAATGTCATTCTCGATGTCGAATTGATCATCTTTATAATTCTTTTAAGGTCCTCTGAACAATGAATTACTCCATGCAGCCAATGACCAGCAAAGCTTTGTTTTGAGAGCTTCCCTCAAGACATGAATTGAGTGAATAAGCTTTTTTGACCTACTAATATGGTGTAACTTAAAGGGAAATATCTGACCTACTAATACCCGAGCTAGTGTATGATAAGATTTCCAACTGCATCAGATCATCAGTTGATCTGCAACTTCTGAAAAATCCTTTTGCATGAACTAGGTGTAGAAAGAGAAAAAAAGAAGAGAAGGATTATGCAAAATCAGGAGATTATTGAGTTTATTCTTCTTTGCTAAAGAGCGTTTTGATGCTCACAGCTCCTGTGGAAGTTTTCATATCAGGTCGTTCTCATCATTGAACCATTTTTTTGTATACAATACAGTCATGATCATGATACTATTTAAGCAAATTGATTTTGATATCATATTAGAAATATTATAGCTGATGAGTAGTGTAACTGACGGACCTGCATTACATACTGTCCAGTGTTCACTTTATTCTCTGCAGATATTCATCAAAGAAAATAAATGATTTTTTCTTTTAATGATTGTTTCCTTTTGTTTAAGTGATGATCCGTAAGTAATGTTTTATGTTGGAGACTTGATAAACTTGTAATTTTAATTCTATTTGGATTGAATTACAGGAATTACTTGAATTGGGGGAGGCTGTTGGAACTCAAAGCAGAGGTCTTTCCCAAGATCAAATCTCCTTGCTTCCAATCACAAAGTTTAAGTGTGGCTTGTTCTCAAGAAAGAAATCAAGAAAGGAAAGGTAGAACAAACCCTTCGAGAATCTCTTCCTATAAATAAGGGCAACTAATGGAAAAATGAACAATTGTCTAATAATCCTATAGCTCTGACATATTAATTTTATTTTTATGCTTCTTGTTCTGTGCTGATTGTTATGTTTCTTCAAAGTATAATAGGCTGGTGGGTTGTCTTTCTATATGTGACTATTGGTCTTTTATGTTTATCATCAACAATCTTCTTCATCTGAATAGTCCATAGATTTCTACTCTTTATCTTTTGAAGTTAAGTAAAGATATTTTACCACAGTATTCTATATTACCTTGAGTGGTATCATGTCCTTTTATGTTTCGCTTGCACATATTCTTTTCCAGATTTCCTCTGAGATATGTTATATTCTGCATATTGTGGAGTTTAATATATGTATCTGTTGGTGCGTGTGTTTATTTGTTTGTTTAGTTTGTTTATTTTCCCCAATAGGTAATTGAATTCTGAGATAACTGAATGAAAATGTCATCTTTTCCATAATTATCTGTTACTGATATCCCGAAAAAAGCTATTATTGTCTACCATGATTATCTTTGCCTAGTATTGTGGGCAAGGTATTGTATCAAAGCGTTTTCACTGATCACAACAGATTTTCCTTCTTATTTCCAGGTGTGTCATCTGCCAGATGGAGTACAAACGAAATGACCGACAGATCACTCTTCCCTGCAAACATCTCTATCATGCTGGTTGTGGCAGTAGATGGCTAAGTATCAACAAAGTAATCAATTGAACCCTCGAAAAACAATTTCCTTAAATGTTTAACATGTACTTTATTGCTAAGTCATTCATTAATGTGTTAGGCTTGCCCAATTTGCTACTCGGAAGTGGCAATTGATACATCGAAGCGGTGAAGCGAATAACAAGCACTATAGGGAACTGGCTTCATACTTTTCTTCTTGGTCACAGCATTTTCCCTTTTTTCCTTTTCGTTCACGTTCTCCTTATAGAGCTTATTTTTCCCGTTGCTTCTGTGTTACATTAGAGAAATATAGTCTAGTGGTAAATAAGAACAGAAAGAAACACCGCGTTTGACAGTTTCGTTAGATGTTGGAGCTTAGTACCACATGTTCTGTTTTGAATATTAGCCATGATCTCAGAACTTTGTCACAGAAAGGATGTCTACTTCTACTTTCACTGTCCTACTATTGTTGCGTGGGAGAAATACAAAAATACGAAGAGGAATGAACCGTTTGTTTTTCTTTTTCTGCCTCAAATAGATTCTTGTGAGACCTGTTCTGAAAATGATATTTTGCAGTTGAATTGCATTTCATATTGGGTAAACTCTGTTGAGCTTTACAAGGGTTTGTGTAGATGTACTGAAGCATTCGACAAAAACATCTGTGATTGGTCTAAATGGAATTGGAAAGAAAGTAAAGAGACAACGGTTGGGTATTAGTGAAAGTGTGATTTTGATAAAATTAAGAGGAAAGGAAACAAGGCAATATCCGAAATTCACTTCATTTGTACTTCACATTTCCGCTCTCCGCAGCTGCATGTCCACAACTGAATCTACTAGTTGAACTTCCTCTAAATTTAACTAGCGTTCTTGGGTTCAAGCCCTCAAAATGGAGAACATTTAATAGGGAGCGATTTACCTCTTTTGTGAACTCACTTGGCACAAATTAGAATTATTCAGACTAGTGAGCTTTGGAATTAAACTGGAAGGGGAAAAAACCATATTACTCCGTTTGCTTATCTATATCAACAAGGCCAATTCTGCCAATTAGTCTCTGCCAATGAAACCTCACACAATATTCCCCATTTAAAATTATCTTAGATCAACATTATAGAAAATAAAATTAAAAGAACTAGAAGCTTGCTATATGTCCTACATATAATAATTTAATGGTGAATACATAATAATATTCATTTTACTTTTTTGACCGCAGGCTCATTCATTTGATTTTTACATTGATGGTCAATCTTTGATTTTTCTATTAATTTTCTCTAGGGAAGGGACTAACATTATTTGAAATCTCCAAACTCTCCAAGCTTGTCTGATCTAGTTGTATGAGACAATCAATCATGACAAGTCGACTGATCCAACATAATAGCATTTAATTTGTAGATAGAATTCGTGTGTTGACCGATGAACTCATCCTCACTGACGTTTAGGCTCTCCAGTTGCTCAATTCTGCCAATTAGTCTCCGCAACATAGTCAAAAAATACTATTCTTGTGGGATGTCAGCATTTGGCACCAATGAAGCGGGAAAAGAAAAGGGAGAGGAGAAATGGCGACAGAATACTTAGGCCATGTCTTGGATAGAAACAAAAGGCTATGAGATTTATTAAACCTTCATATGGCTAATGGTTTGATCATATAATATACTTCTAGAGAGTGGCGGAGCCAGAATTTTCCTTAACAGGTGTCAAAATATATAAAAGTAAACATACCAGAAAATTAAGGAGAGTCAATATATAGTATATATACATATAATTTATTTTTTTACCTAGCTACACAGTGTATTTTCCCGCGAAATGGCACCCCTACCTATAAGGTGGCTTCGCCACTGCTTCTGGACGAAACGATCTTGTGACACTATATTTTGTCACAATTCTTACGGGTCGTTTGGTATATGAGATAATGATAATAACCCCGAGATAGAATTTGAAATTGTATTTATCTCATATTTGGTTAGAGGTATTAGCTAATCCGGGGATAAATTTTACACTAAAGTAATGAGATTAGTTATCCCATAGAGAAGGCGGGATATCCCATCCCATTCTTAAGGGGCCGTTTGGAACAATGGTGGGATATCCCACCATTGTATCCCACCATTGTTCCAAACGGCCCCTTAAGAATGGCAAGCATTAGCTGCTAGAATCTTCGAGACCCATTAATATGTTTTCCATAATCTAGGACGACGATACCCATAATGGGAACTATGAGAAAGAGTTTAAGAATTAAGAAAGCAACAATCGAACTACTTTTAGAGCTAAATTTTAATAACTTTGTCTCTCCAAATCTACAATTACGCTATCATATGAAACTATAGGAGTAAACTTTTTTTCACTGACTTAGCAAGAACAAAGATTAGGATTTTGATTACATCTTCAGCTTAAAAGATCAGGATGACCACTACGCTTGAAACAACGAGTTGAGTTGCATAACTAAACCGCTAAAATATGACCTAAGGGTTGGTCAACATAACAGGAACTAATTTAGAAAGAAACCGAATTTACATCTAGCAAGATACCAACAAATATTCAGATAATATGATCTTAAAATGAGCCATGGAGTAATGCAGGAGTGTTCAAATGCAAGTCACAATACCTCAGCAGGAAAAGGAGTTGATCAAGTAGTCAGGCTCATGGCCTGACGATTGCAGGTCGACTCCTGTCCCCTCCTAATCATTGGAACATCGTCTGTGGGACTAAGCTTTTATGTAGCTTAAGTATGTTTGGCGACAGATTTCTTATATTGCGCAGTAATCATCAGTAACAAGTAGGAGGTCATATCCGATAAATGGAAAATAATTAACTATTTCCATATGTCTCGCTAAGTGAATCAAACTTTCATAAATCTGATCGGATCGTGGATGTGTCTTGTCTCTAACAATAAACTCAAAAAGTTTTCCATTTTCTTCAATGGAGCTGCAACCAGGTGTTTTTCTAATCCTCTTTCATCCATCATCTTCCTAATATCTCGTGCGTTATGCTGCATATTTGCTTCAACATAGATATTAGCAAGTAAGACATAAGTTCCACTATCACCAGGATCAAACTCAAGAAGTTTCAGAACTGCGTTTCCCCCCATCTCGACGTTCCCATGAATTCGACAAGCAAAAAACAGTGCTCCCTGTGCATATTAAAGCATCAGCCGCCATTTAATTGGCATTCTCTGGACAAGCTTATAAGCTTCATGCAAAAACCCTGCCCTACCCAAAAGGTCCACCATGCTACAATAATGTTTAGATATAGGAGGAATTTTGAAATTTGCGCTCATTTGAGCAAAAAAGCTGTCCCCCTTCTTCAACCAAACCTGCATGACAACAAGCTGATAAGACCCCGAGAAATGTGACATCATCTGGTCTCAGGCCACTGTCAACCATCTTTGAAAAATATGATAGAGCATCACGTCCATTTCCATGAACCGCTAAGGCACCAATTGCAGCTGTCCAAGTCAATGAGTTTCTGACGGGCATCTCATGAAAAACCTGAAGTGCCTTTTCAACATTACCACATTTGGCATACATATCAACAAGCGCGGTTCCCAGTGAAACAGTAAGACAAAGCTTATGTTATTTTATATAGTGGTGAATCCAAATCCCAATATCAAGTGAGCCAAGTTGTGCACAAGATGATAGGAAACTGACCATAGTCACTTCATCAGGTTTTACATTCATGGTTTGCATTTCGTGAAACAAAGCCAGTGCCTCTTTACCACGCTTAGCTTGGACAAAACCTCCAATCAACGCATTCCACTGTATAATACCTTTCTCTGGCATCTTGTTGAAAAGCCTCCTCGCCTCATACAAAAGCCCAAACTTAGCAAACCCACTAATCATTGTAGTCCAACTTACCATAGTCATCACCTCCATCCTATCAAACAAACCCTTTGCTTCATGTAGACTCGATCTCATTCTTCACATACATGTCTATGACTGCATTGCAAAGTGGTACGCTAAAATTCAAGCCTATATCCGTAATATAACTATGTAACTTTCTCCCTAGCTCCAAATTCTTAAGCTGACCACACGCCCCTACTATTCCGATAATAGTAACTTCATCGGGCTCCGCATATGCCATTTTCGTCTTCTCAAATACCATCAACGCCTCCCTCGGTCTCCCACTCCTAACATAACCATTAATTAATGAATTCCAAGAAACTAGGTCCCTCACAAAACTTTCGATCATGTTGTGAGAGGGGTGACTTAATGTGTAACAAACTAAGGGTAGTTCTATCTATTTAATACTAGGTAGTTAGGAGTCCAAAGTCTGTTAGTCATTTCTATAAATAGGGGTCGTTTGTACGGTGTATTTTTAGTTTTTAACAGAATCAGTTTTTGCATTTCTACTTCAGCTCATTCCCTTCTTCTCTTCCTTTTCTTCTCAGCTAGGGTTTACATAGCTCGATCCATATAATTTAACATGGTATCAGAGACATAAGACTAGGAATCACTGGTCTCATTCATCGATTCACATCGGCATTAGTGAAATTGTGAGATTCAGAAAAATCAATCGAAAAATCGAAACCTTGTCAATTAAAGCAGAGTAGCCATGGGAGATACTGTTGACAACACCACGGCTAATGCAGCCACATATGTAGATGCAGGAATTGGAAATGCTCTAGCTAATGAGGAATTCAGCGTTTATTTGCCTCACAATCATCCATTATACCTTGGACCTGCAGATACGACTGGAGCACAATTGATCTCTTTTCAATTAATAGGTACTGACAATTACACTATATGGAATCGATCTATGAGGATAGCTCTGCTGGGAAGAAATAAGCTAGGGCTGGTATAAGGAACATGGGGAAAGGAAAAAATTCGTGAAAATCTATGGGAACAATGGGAGAGGTGCAATGCAATTGTACTCTCATGGTTGATGAATGTTGTAACTCCATAGCTAGTTGGATGAGTGGTATTTGGAGATAGTGCACAGGCTGTTTTGCTGGATTTGCGAGAGAAATTTGACAAAGTAGATGGATCTAGGTCATTCAATCTACACAAGGAAATTGCAACCTTATATCAAGGTACATCTTATGTTTCTGTTTATTACACTAAGATGAAGGACCTATGGGATGAGTTTGAAGTATTAGTCCTTGCTCCATGTGACTGTGAGAAGCCTAGATATTATGTTGTCTTTATGAAGAGACAAAAATTGTATCAATTCTTTATGGGATTGAACGACTCATATGCTCAAGCAAGGAATCAAATATTGTTGATGTACCCTTTACCTACACTCAATCAGGAATTCTCTATGATTATGAGTGATGAAAATCAGAAGTCTATAGCTGCCACAATAGGAAATTTAGGATTGACATCACCTATTCCAGCTGAAATTTATGAGTTAACTGCTCTATATTCCTCCAGATCTAGTGGTTTCTAATCCAGCTTTTAGCCAAATAACTCTCAACAGTCTGGAAATTACTCTAAGCAGAAGAGAACCTACGGTGACTATTGTGACTTCTGTAAGAAGAAGGGTCATAACAAGGAGAATTGTTGGAAGATCATTGATTATCCACAAGGTTTCAAGTCTAAGAAGAAAGGGGGAGTTGCAGCCTATAATGTTTGTATTGAAGATCCAAATCATACCTTCTATACTCAGGTACAACCATTCATGCAGGTGCAGAATCAGTCTCAACAAATGCAGACTTCAGCTCAGTCTGGAGTACAAATGTAGAGGTAGCCCTCGACCTTAAGAGACAGCTCATCAGGAAGACAACCAGTATCCTGTACATTTACTAAGGAATAATATGAATAAATCCTGCAAATGCTGAACAAAAGTTCTCTGACTGCTCCCTCAGCAAGCATGGCACACACAACAGGTACTAGCTATGTCTTTTTAGTGAGTAATAAGCCCCCAAAGTGGATCATTGATACAGAGGCTACAAATCATATGGTGTCTGATTTAAAGCTATTATCTAAATCAGAAGAGATCAAACCTAGTAATCCTAAGAAGGTATATCTGCCAAATGGAGATGTAGTCTATGTTACACACATGGGTACTAGCCCAATTTTAGCAATAATTATACTAAAAAATGTCCTACACGATTCAGATATAATCTACTCTCAGTATCCAAGGCAACCAAAGACTTACAATTTTGTGTTACGTTTTATCCTGATTTTTGCCTATTTCAGGATCTCTACAGTGGGAGGTTGAAGGAGATTGGTAAAGAACATGATGGCCTTTATATGTTAATCCTTCACACAAATAAGAGCAATCCAAAAATAGCACTAATAATCAAGGATACTACAGAATCTAAGGAGAAGCAGGATATTGACTTGTGTCATAGGACATGTATCTTCTGTAGTATTAAAGAAGTTATTTCCTCTTAAAACTCATAATTGTGTCACAATTGTGGACAATTGTCATGTATGTCCATTAGCTAAGCATACTATACTTCCCCTTCCTAGTAGTAGTATTAAAAGCACAGAATGTTTTGATTTGATACATGCAGATGTATGGGGTCCTTATAGAGTGTCTACATTTGATGGAAATAAATACTCTCAAACTTTGGTGGATGACTTCTATAGAATGACATGGTTATTTTTGCTGAAGTATAAGTCAGATGTATGTGTGGTCTTGAAGTTCTTCTTGTGTTATGTAAAAATATACCATAACAAGTGTGTTAAGATTATCTGGACAAATAATGGATTGGAATTTGTAAATTCAACTTGCAATGATCTGTTTAGCAACCTTGGAATGATTCATCAAAGAACCTGTGTATATACTCCTCAGCAAAATGGTGTAGCTGAGAGGAAGCACGGGCATATTTTAGAGGTTGCTAGAGCAATGAGATTTCAAGCTCATATACCTATGAAATACTAGGGACACTGTGTATTAGCTGCAGTACACATAATCAACAGAATGCCTTCTTTAGTTACTAATGGAGTGTCACCCTTCCAGAAGTTGCACAACAGAAAACCTTCACTATAACATATAAGAGTACTAGGATGCTTATGTTATGCCAAAGCAGTTCAAGAGGAGGACAAGTTCATGTCAAGAGCTATACCAGCAGTATTGATGGGATATGATGCAACTCAGAAAGGCTATGTGCTTTTAAACCTAACTAATCATTCTTTCTTTATTAACAGTGATGTTGTTTTCAAAGAGACTGTCTTTCCTTTTAGATAGACAAGAAATAAATATCTACCAATCTTCCTACAGTTAGATGTTCTTGCAGAATATACTCAACTGTCAGGGGTCCCAACAGTTTCTCATATGGGACACAACAGTGAGCATGAGACTGAGTTAACACACTCAGATATAGGAGATGTGCCTAGTGATATAAATGAGGATGTTCATGACAATGATGTTGCATGTGGGAGTGAAGGAGAATTAGTCTTGGCTCATCCAACTGGAGAAATTTCTGATCAGGGTCAAGTGCAGGTTCCATCTACTCAACAATTGCCAGCTATCCCCTCAGCTGTAGAAGAAGAAGTTAGAAGATCCTCTAGACCAAAGAATCCTCCTATTTGGATGAAGGACTTAGTGTCACTAAATGTACATGAATCTATACCATATGCAATTGCAAACTATGTCTCCTACAATGGCTTGTCTCCTCAATACCAAGCTTACCTTGTAGCCTTCTCCTCTATTGCAGAACCTGCTACATATGTTGAAGCGAGTCAAGATTAGGTGGATAGAGGCTATGAAGGTAGATATTTAAGCACTGGAAAGCAATCACACTTGGGACATTGTCTCACTTCCTGAAGGCAAGGTTCTAATTGGTTGTAAATGGGTATATAAGGTCAAATACAAGGCATCAGGTGAGGTGGAGAGATTCAAGGCTAGGTTGGTAGCTAAATGGTACAGTCAAAAGGAGGGGATTGATTATCAAGAAACATTTTTACCGGTAGTAAAAATGGTGACTGTGAGGACTGTTCTATCAATAGTTGCAGCTCATAAATGGTACATTCATCAGATGGATATATATAATGCATTTCTTCAAGGTGATCTCAATTGCCACCAGGATTCAGAAGCCATGGGGAGTCTCAACTAGTGTGTAAGCTTCATAAATCCTTATATGGCCTAAAACAGGTTCCTAGATAGTGGAATGAGAAACTCACAGAAGCTCTATATCATTCTGGCTTTGTTCAAAGCCAATATGATCACTCTTTGTTCATCAAGCAGACTACTGAAGGCATAGTGATAGTGCTGGTATATGTAGATGACATGCTAGTCACTAGTACCTCTCTATATTTAATTGAAGAGACAAAGACAACACTACAACATGCATTTAAAATGAAAGATTTAGGAGAGTTGAAATACTTTCTAGGAATAGAGTTTGCCAGATCTGCAGATGAGATTATTATGCATAAGAGAAAATATGTTTTAGAGATTATCTCTGAACTTAGACTTGGAGCAGCAAAGCCTGTAGCTACTCCACTAGAAGTGAATGCAAAGTTGACTACCAAGGAGTATGATGATCACCTTGGTACTTCAAGTAATGTTGTAGATGAGCTACTACTAGATCCATGTGTCTACCAAAGATTAATAGGCAAACTGCTATATTTTACTATGACAAGGCCTGACTTGGCATTCAATGTGTAAATGCTAAGTCACTTTCTCCAGCAACCAAAGAGATCACATATGGATGCAACACTGAGAGTTGTTAAATATGTCAAGAACCATCCTGGGCAGGGCATATTGATGTCCAACAAAACCACAGGCACATTGGAGGCATTTTGTGATGCAGATTGGGTTGCATGCCAACATTCTAGAACATCTGTAACAAGTTTCTTGATCAAGCTAGGTGGTTCATTAGTGTCCTGGAAATCTAAGAAGCAGACAACAATATCTAGATGTTTTACTGAAGCAGAATACAGGAGTTTGGCAGTCACAATTGCTAAATTGGTTTTCCTAGTGGGGCTGATAAAGGAGATAGGAGTTGATGTTCAGCTGCCTGTGAACATTCATTGTTACAGCAAGGCAGCAATACAGATTTCGGCAAATCCAGATTTCAAGAACGAACAAAATATATTGATATAGATAGTCATTATTTAAGGGAGAAGATATTGGAAGGACTGGTTGCGACCAAGTATGTTGGAACAAGAGAACAACATGTTGATTTGTTGACAAAGGGATTAAGCAGAATTCAGCATGAGAACCTGAGTTCCAAGCTAGGTGTGTTTGATGTGTTTACACCACCTAGCTTGAGGGGGAGAGTTGTGAGAGGGGTGACTTAATGTGTAACAAACTAAGGGTAGTTTAGTCTATTTAACACTAGGTAGTTAGCAGTCCAAGTCGGTTAGTCATTTCTATAAATAGGGGTCGTTTGTACAGTGTATTTTCAGTTTTTAACAGAATCAATTTTTGCATTTCTACTTCAGCTCATTCCCTTCTTCTCTTCCTTTTCTTCTCAGCTAGGGTTTACATAGCTCGATCCATAGAATTTAACATATCAAACAGCTTATTTGCATCCTCTAACTTCCCACAGGATACCAAGAAATGAATCATTGCAATGCAAGCGTTGGGCCATACTGGACCTTGTATCCCATTGCCTCTCCTGCTCATAGACTCCAATTCAGGTGTGTTTGTATATTTCTTGAGGTCACTATGGAATCACAGTATGTGAAGCATGTTGCAAGATAATTTATACTTAACATGTGTAAAACTGTAGTTCCTATATCGGTTGTCTTGCGTGAAAAATTAAGCAAGCTGCTTGCTGGTGATGACGTGAAAACAGTTAAGAGAATTACTATTTCTGTGGGGAACTTGTGTTTCAAGGAGTCATCATCTTCACATCTAAATATTTCTCCTGTCCTGATTTTCAGTCTTAGCCAGTCAAAAGTAGATGAAATTTCCTCCAGCCATGGCCCTAAAAGAGGTTCTCTATATTCGTGAAGTGCTCAAACACTCTTGTTCTCTTGCTCACAACTAGAGGAAAATACCTTCATATAGCCTATTTATCCAAGCTTCTAAAATCAACTTTATTTTGAGAAGTGATTTTCTCAAAAGTACATTTCAAAAAAATACTTTTGGTGAGAAACAGTTTGTGTTTGGCTAATTAATTTAAAAAGCACTTTTGAACAGTAATTAATGTTTGGCCAAGCTTTTGAAAACTGCTTCTAAGTGTATTTTTCTCAGAAGTGCTTCTCAAAAAAGTATTTTTGAAAAGAAGCTACTTTTTTCTGCTTCTCAAAAACCGCTTCTGCTTCTCCTCAAAAATACTTTTTTTCTTTCTAAAAACTTGGCCAAACACCTCAATATTTGGCCAAAATTGAGGCAAAAGTTTTTCTAGAAATCAAAAAAAAATTTGCCTCACTTTTTTTGCTTCTCCTCATGATTTAGTTATTGGTCTCCCTAAACTCAATTTTTCTAGAAATCAAAAAAAAATTTGCCTCACTTTTTTTGCTTCTCCTCATGATTTAGTTATTGGTCTCCCTAAACTCAATTTTTCTAGAAATCATGTATGTGATGCATGTCAAATTGGCAAACAAACCAGAAACTCCTTCAAAAGTAAAGACATTGTGTCTACCATCAAGCCTTTATAATTGCTCCACATGGATTTATTTGGACCCACCAGAACTGCAAGCATAGGAGGAAAACGATATGCTTTTGTTATTGTTGATGACTGCTTACGTTTTACATGGGTGATTTTCTTATCTCACAAAGATGAAGCTTTGAAATACTTTGAGATTTTCTGTAAGAAAGTTAAAAGAGAAAAGGGGTACCTTATTACAACCATTCAAAGTGATCATGGAGGAGAATTCAAAAGCAGAGCACACTACTAGAAATCCGGTAAAAACTGACCAAAAAAACCGACCAACGTTGGTCGGTAATGGTCAAAAACCGACCAAAACGCGACCATTTACATGTAGACGGTATTTTTGTGGTCGGAAAGGAATACCGACCAAAGTTGGTCGGAAATTACCGATCAACTTTGGTCGGTCAATTAAATTCAAAAAAAAATATTGCAAAAAAAACCGACCAAAGTTGGTCGGTATTTTAATTATGTAATAAAAAAATTCACCATCTAGGAATCGAACCGAGGTCTGTACTGTGGCAGGATACTATTCTACCACTAGACCATTGGTACATTTTGTTTTAAGACTGTCTTTTATTTGATTTATACTCTTTAATTATATTTTCGCACGAAAATAACCGACCAAAGTTGATCGGTTTTATTAAAAAGTAAAATTACCGATCAAAGTTGGTCGATTTTTTTAAATGACCCGCTAAATTAACCGATCAATTTTGGTCGGTTTTTTTAATATTAATTTTTATTTATTTTAATTGAAAAACCGACCAAAGTTGGTCGGTTTCTTGAAACATAAATTTCGCGGGACTCAAAAATAGTTTCCCGCATTTTTGCACCAAAGAAAACCGACCAAAGTTGGTCGATTTCGTTAAAAAAAAATTAAGAAAAAATATTTTGAAAAACCGACCAACTTTGGTCGGTTTTTTGACCGACCAAAGTTGATCGGTCGACCTTGGTCGGTTTTTGCCGAATTTTTAGTAGTGGCATTTGAAGATTTCTGCAATGATCAGGGATATACTCACAAATTCTCAGCTCCAAGATCACCTCAACAGAATGGAGTAGTTGAGCAAAAAAATAGAACTCTACAAGATATGGCCAGAACAGTAATATTGGAATATTTCCTGCCAAACCATTTTTTGGCAGAAGCAGTAAGCACAACCTGCCACATTCTCAACAGATGTCTTATAAGACCTATCTTGAAGAAAACTCCATATGAATTATGGAAAGGTAAACGACCCAACATAGTTTATTTTCATCATTTTGGCAGCAAGTGTTTTATCCACAACAATGGTAAGGACAATTTTGGAAAATTTGATCTAAGAAGTGATGAAGGTATTTTTCTGGTATTTTCATAAATAGTAGATCTTTTAGAGTTTATAATAAACATACTTTATCTGTAGAAGAATCAGCACATGTCATATTTGATGAAAATAACATTACGGTCGAGAAATGAATTATTGTAGGTGATGAAGATATCAGTCAAGAAATATCACAGTCAAGCAAATCTCAAAAGTCGACTGATAAGATAGACAGTGTCACAGAATCAACTAATGATCCTGTCAACAGTCAACCAAAATCACAAAAGGAGTCAACTACTCATACGATTGCAACAAGTAAAAATGAGCGGAGAAGTGGACTGGAATATCCTCAAAAGTTTATCATAGGAGATCCAAGTAAAGGAATGAAAACCAGGGGAGCTCTTAAGAAAAAGGCAAATGTAGCACTCATCTCTAAGATTGAACCAAAGAAGGTTGAGTAATCCTTAAAAGACTCTAGGTAGGTACAAGCAATGTAGGAAGAACTCAATCAATTTGATAAAAATCAAGTCTAGATACTGCTACCTAAGCCTGCAAATGCTACTGTAGTTGGAATAAAATGGGTTTTCAGAAATAAGCTTAATGAAGATGGAAAGGTCTTGAGATACAAAGCCAGATTAGTAGCCCAAGGCTACTCATAGCAGAAAGGAGTCGACTACGATGAAACCTTTGCACTATTAGCTCGACTAGAGTCTATACGAATTCTTCTTGTATATGCATCCTTCAAACGATTTAGACTTTTTCAGATGAATGTCAAAAATGCCTTTTTATATGGCTTTATTGATGAGGAGATATATGTAAAACAACCTCCTGGTTTTGAAGACTCAAAATTCCCTTACTATGTGTATAAGTTGACTAAAGCTCTGTATAGACTCAAACAAGCTCCACGAGCCTGGTACGGAAGTCTTAGTTCATTTCTACTTGATCATGGCTTTACAAGAGGTAAAGTAGATACTACATTATTTATGAAAATATCATCAGGGGGTAATCTTATTATTCAAGTTTATGTTGATTATATTATCTTTGGAAGTGCTAACCCTCTTTTGTACAAGGAATGCGCTAGTCTTATGCAAAGTGAGTTTGAAATGAGCATGATGGGATAGCTTAAGTTTTTTCTTGGACTACAAATTCAACAATATGAAGAAGGAACGTTCATATGCCAGACAAAATACACAAAGAAATTAATTCAAAAGTTTGGCATGAGCAGTGTTAAAGCAATTGGTACACCAATGAGCCCATCAACAAGTCTCGACAAGGACAAAAAAGGAAATCCAATTGATGAAACTAAATATCGTGGAATGATCGGTTCTTTGCTTTACTTGACTGCTAGTTGACTAGATATTATGTTTAGTGTGTGTAAATGTGCTAAGTTTCAGTCAGCTCATAAGGAATCACATTTGACTGCAGTAAAGAGAATAATTCGTTACCTCATCGGAACTATTTCTTATGGATTATGGTATCCACGTTCTAACAATTTTAAGCTAGAAGGCTGGAAAAAGCATTAATTTCATGGAACAGTAAGAAACAAGGCTCAATTGCATTATCCATAATGGAGGCAGAATATATTACCATTGGGCAATGTTGTGCATAGTTACTATGAATGTCTCATCAACTGGGTGACTATGAACTATTTTTAAAACCTATTCAAATATTTTGTGATTACTCTAGTGCTATATGTCTCTCAGATAATCTTGTGTATTATTTTAGGGCTAAGCATATAGACATCAAACATCATTTCATTAGAGATCATGTGCTCAATGGAGATATAGAATTATCATTTGTTGGCACCACTGATCTATTAGCTGACATTTTTACTAAGCCTTTACTTTAAGATAGATTTTGCTCTCTAAGAGAACTACTTGGTATTATTTCGCTTGATCATAAAAATTAGGACCTATGTGTTAGTTTTAATTCTTGTGTGTCTAATGTTTTTAATTTTTTTTTTATCTGTAAGTATGCATTAATTTAGCGCCTTCGATTTCCCTCTCTTTTTCCATCAGTCGTAGCTTTCAAGAAAGGAAAATCAATCATCATGACCCTTCCTTACACCTTTTCCTTTCCTGCACTCAACCGTCAAAATCCCTTCTTTTTAATCCCCTGAACTATTCTTCTCTGTCTTCATTGTTCTTATCACTCAGAAACCCTTCCTCAAAATCTCTCAATGGATAAACACTCTAAGAATCCGTCTGCCT